TATAGCACATGCCAAGACTATTATTATAAACTACCAATATATTAGCCACTATGTTAGGTATAAAGTGTCGAAAGAAAACTGAAAAAAAGCTGAATACAAAGTTAAAAACATTTTTTGAATTAACTAACAACAGTAAAAAAAGTATTCAAAAAAATATATGTAGAGACTCCAATAAAAAGCAACGAAATAACCATTATAGTAAAATATTTAATCAACTTTATATAAAAACTAATAAATTGTTTAAATGAACGCAAATGTTGGTTTATTTTCTATTTAATTGCTGCATCTGACATTTCATACATAGTTTTCTTTATGCAAAATGAAGTTAGCATTGACGTTGTTAAAGAAAGTTCTGCAAAATTACCTATCAAAGTAAGTTGACTCTAAATTTTCGTATTATGTTGTATGTTCGCTTAATTTCTCAAAGCCAAACTTCGTGGAACTTCGACGGCTTTTCTGAATCTTGTAAATTGCGTTGTCACGATGAAAAGAGCATACTGCCGTTTAGTGCTTACCGGGGAAGCCAAAATTATAACTATCCAACAATTAACAATACGTATAGGAAATTAAACTTCTGCTTAAATTGTGTTATATCTGGATAAAATAAATAAGCTGTTATTAAAAAAAATGTCTGTCTGATGTCACGGCGTCGGTAGTCGGGAAGAGGCTTGTACCTTGGACCAGCTTGTACCATGAGCCACCCCATTTTTATTTTAATTTGGCGCGCGAACCCTCTGTTTCTTATGTTAAGCTCTTCTGCAGTCGTTGTCATTCTGTAGTTAGTTATCGTAGTTATCATTTGCGGCCGTCTTAAAGATATAGTGAATTATTTTGTAAAAAGTAAGTATTTATAAGGTAAATTATTTTCTTTTTTAATTTTTTTGTTAACAGATATGGTAAATAAAATCATAGGGTTTGTATGTTTATTCTAACAGATACCTAAATAACATATAACAGAAATATAACAAACCAGTTTTTTTAGGTTAAATTTATATTCGTTTTCTTTTCGGCCGAGTTTTGTACCTTGGTCCACTATTACGTCTTGTACTTTGGGTCGCGGCCCAAGGTACAATCTCTTGTAGGTGGATAAATAAAAAAAAATTCATCATTAAAAAAATCATTAAAAAAACAAACGTTTTCGGACTAAACAGTCCATCATCAGGTTTAAAATTTTAAAATTGCCTAAAATAAGTATAAACCATTTAGTTAAAACAAACGTGGTTATAAAATTTTGACTATAGTTAATAAGCAAAAATGGTTATACTTACAAGGTTATGATGCCTGAGCCACCAAAATACCTGGGTAAAAACCCTTTAAATTACATATAGTTGTAAAAGATTATACATCATGTTGTAAAAAAAATGTGATGTTCAGTATTAAATTAAATTTGACTTCAGGTCAACAGACATGGCTGAAGTGAGTTCCAGAGCCGGAGAGTAAACCTCTTCAAACGGAGAGCTGGTAACTGATTGACAATATACCTATGAACGGTGTCGAAAACAAAATGTCAATGTAACATGGAACTATATTAGTTATACCTACTATTACTACAGCAAAAAGATTCAAAAAATTATTTTGATGATTTTAAAAAATAATAACAGCAATCTAGGTGTTGGGATTTATAAACTTTTTATTTATTAATTTAAGGTATAAAATATGTGAAATCACCGATGGTGTTAAAGTCATGTTTAAGAGAATGACCTGTGTATTAGGCAACCTATGTTACTTTTTGTCGTATGGAATGTGGTCTAAAAGTGTATTTTATGTTAGATTAGCTTATATATATATATATATAATATATATATATATATATATATATATATATATATATATATATATATATATATATATATGAAAATCATCCTTTTATGTTTATCACATCTAGGACAAGGTAAAAATTAAATAGCAAATATTTGAAGCTAATATGAGACCTCGTATTTAAATGACTTTAGTTAAGACTTGTAGTATGGTGAAAAAATAAATAAAAATAAGTTTAGTAAATTGAAAATCTACAGGATGAAGAAATTAAAGTTATAACCTATGTGATTAAATTTAAAATTGAAGAGGCTGAGCTCCTCAGAGACTTGATGAGAATAAAAGTAGAGGAAATGACTGAAGAAGAAGGGGACGGTTAAAGAAGAAAAGGAGTTAATCAACAATTAGAGATAATAGAGGTCCTTCATGCTTACAGCATCTAGCACCCTGGACAAAATCTATTTTAGTAGTAATAAATTCAGTTTATTAAAACCTAAAATTTGATGTATGAGTGTGCTACTAAGTTGTTGACCAAGAGAAGGTGAGCAATGTTAGATAAGGATTTTTTGTAATAGGGGAAAATTATGAATTTTGATAAATTGTTAGATAATGTTTGAATGATTACTGAGTTAAAACTACTGAGTACATGTTTGATATATGAGTTGACCAAGAAATAATGAAAGAGAAAAGAATGGACAGGAATGTGATGTAGATGTGAAGAGTGAAGAAAATGGTAAAATATTATGGTATGATAGATATGGATGGTTCTGAAGTTAACAACAGGGTCGAAAATTTATGAGGGGAAGTGGAATGAAATGAAGAGGAATTGTTTTCCTTGTGGATTTTTTTAAATAAAAAAAGTAAAAATAATTCTTTTTACAGATGCCTAGAAGCAAAACCGGCGTAAAAAGAGCTTCAACAGATCATATAAACTTATTAAAAGCATACAATGCAATTCAGGAAAACTAAATATCGGTCCGATTAGCTGCAAAGGAATTCCATGTGTTACGGACGACAGTTCAAAGATTTTTGGTGAGCGCTGACAACAATCTCCTCTTTTATGGTGCTTTCGCAGTCCGAAAAGTATTTTCCACTGATGAGGAGAACGACTTATGTCGTAATATTAGACAATCATGAAAGTCATATTACCCCGAAATCATCAACTTAGCTAAAGAACATGGGATCGTAATATTGACTATTCCACCTCATACCAGCTATCGGCTTCAACCCTTCGATTGCAGTATTTTTGGCACATATAAAACGTATTATAACAACGCGTGCACAGAATGGATGATAAGAAACCCAAAAACAAAACAAATATATATTTACTTTTTAGGCCCTTTACCTAAGGCACTTCAAAGAACGAACATACAAAAAGGTCGTAAAAGGAGCATGTGTTAAGTCCTATTTGATATACATGAGAAAAATTAAATAGAAGAAGAGCATAAAGGAAGAATGAACAAACATAAAGTAAACAGCTATGAAAACAAAAGTTATGGACACCCAACAGCGAAAGCATCATTTAACAGGCAATAAAATTAAAAAGACTAAACCAGTATTTCCCCAAAAGGATCTCAACAATTCATCATCTTCTGTCAACGACGACGTTCGAAAGCATCCCTTACGACGATAGTTCGGATCCGTCTTCTTAGCTTGAGTCAGACATAGAGTGGGAAGGATATATGTCTAAAAATAACAAACCAGTAACACGAACAGAGTTTACACTGAAAACTGGTAGATTCTACCTAACAAAGCTTATTGGAAAGAGGATCGCAGGAAAATCGAAAAGGAAGACATCATTGAAAGCGTCGTAAAAGTTCCCAAGAAAGATGGATCCTCAAAACGTCAACAGGATGTTTATACTTTTAAGATGGATTTTGAAAAGTATTTGGTTGAGTAAATTTTACGTTATTTAAATTGTTTGTTCTTATGTTTGTTAATAAAGAATCATTGATTTATATTATTGGCAACTCATTTTGCTTAAAATGGTTTTTATTCGAAACAAAACTTAATAAAACAAATAATAAAAGGATTTTCTTCCTATGTAACTTTCAATGTGTCTGTTAATTAATAAAATAAAAGTTTTGGTAATTATGTTTACCATTCGCCCAATGTACAACCTTTGGTGGCCCAAACGTTCAGGAATTAATCAACTCATGTAATCAGTTGTTTTACTCAATTTTTATTTTACATACTAAAATAGTTTATACCTGTCCCAGTGTAAATTTTAAAAATATAACTTTAATATTGTATTTGTATTATATGTTTAAAAAAATCCTGCCCAAGGTATAAGCCTCTCCCCTACTTAACTTAATAATTGCATTGGTAGTCTATCTTCTGTCATTTTCTGTACATGATGGTACCAATTAAGTTGTATTGTTGTAGTATCGTCTACAATTGTGTGATTTGCTTTCATTATTTCTCTGGTACGGTCATTTGTTCTTTGTTCTCTCCAGAATTTTCTTGCGCATCTTTGCCAAAAGTCCATATCTGTGGCTTTTAGCATTCTTACCGTTTTGGTTTCTATTTGCCAAACTTTATTGCTATAAGTTATGCTCCGGATTATGACATTAAAAAATAAAATATCTTTTTTTTTAGGTATAGAAATGTAAGTTGGCAACACTTTTTTAAATGTAGTCCATTTTGACAGCTGTCAAGTGATTTATGTTTAGAGTTTTGTTTGGTTTTTCAGCATGACTAGACTGGCGCCTGAATAATACTTCCAAATTGTGAAAATATATTTTGAAAATCATAATTTAAATTGCTAAATTCAATTTAAAATTTTTAAATTTTAATTTCAAAGCTCTACACTATTCTCACTGTAGAAAATCTTCTCACCTCTGTTAAATATATATTCATTTATACTGATTTGCGTATAGCGACTACATTTATATCAACATAGAACTAATATTCGTTAATAATTGCTGTAAAATTGCCGGTAAAAATTGATTTTGAGAAGAAGACGATTTAAGTTTTATTCAATTTGACCGCTCTCTGCTTCCCCAAGAATTAGTAACCTTAGTTTTTAACATCTTAAATTAAGTTAATAAATTTCATTTTACATTAATATCACAAAAATTAAAAATTTTCAAAATCTTTTTGAAAAAAAAATTGTAGGCCACTCTTGCACTATTGCAATATTATAAAAATAAAAAAAATTAAGTGCGTTTTTGCATAAATATATTTTTACCATACTTGTATACAAAAAAATGAACAAAAGCCAAAACAATGCTACTAACAAACATTTATTCCATCATTTGTTCGGAATCTTCTATAGCGTAAAACACATTATCTTCTCCATCATCATTATTTTGTACACGTTGATCAAAATTTTTAACATTCAGATTGTTATAAAAGTTATGTAAATAAGGTGGTACGTACACTAACAAATCTTGTAAATTGCTAAATTTAGCTGTTTGAATGTCTTTGTCTTCTGGGTATAAAAGTGGAAGTTTTCCAATAAACGTAGATGTATAGCGCTTCGTAATGTCTATATGTTTAAAAATAACCTCCGGATTGTTAGATTTTTTAGAATATAATTGTAGTGGTTTAGTTTAAGTCCACCAATTCACCCTCGACACTCTTTTTACGATTAGTAATAGTTTTCTCTAATGGAACACTACTCACGAAATCGTTGCTGGTCATTTCTCCTACTGTAAATGGTTTTTGTTTTTTGGCTGTACTAATCACTCTGGTCCAATCTCCGGGTAAATAAATATCATTAAAAGTTTACTTGTTCTTCTCTATGATCCCAAATTCACGGTCACATGCTAAATATGAATGCTCCGACACCAAAAATTTATGGTCAATTTGATGCACTTTTGATATATTGTTTTGTATATAAAATATAATTACAAAATGGAGACATTTTAATGTTCCTATTCTGCCCTCCGCATTGGTCACTATACATAATTAATTTTGACGTGTTAACATAGTTTTTGACATAATGCTGTATACAAGATCCAATCACTTGAGGGCCTCTAAATGCTATGGCTTCATGCCAAACGTACATGTTGACCTGATTACTTGACAAGTTGTGGATACCTAAGCAGTATATCTACAACTGCCTTTTGTAGTAACATACCACAGTTAAAAGATGAGGTATAGGTAATGTAGACATGCGATCAAACGCTATTACAGTGAATTCGTTTTCAGCTATTGTACCCAATTCCGAATCCAATGCCATCCCAGCACGTACACTTTCTGTCTTTCGCAGATGCAATTCTTTTTCTAACTTTAAACTTACCAAAGCAACTTCAGAAGTTTCTGTTTTTATTTTTTGTTCAAATTCGTCACATTTAAAACTGTCAGATACAGACGCATGTAAAGTTAAATTAAGTTTTTTTCTGAAAACATCCTTAAAAACAAATTGTGACGCAGTATCATTTGTTTCTTATTTGAATAGGGAATACATAGTTGACAGATTTAAAGTGGGAGCTGAATAACAAAGATTTGGATTTTTTTTTCTAGAATAATGTGACTGATATTTTGGGAACCTCGAAATAAAATGAAAAATATTGTCAAGTTTCTCCTGACTTGTTTTATTATGAGGGTTCTTTTTTTCTCTTTTATTCTTAGAAGGTGTGCCACCTTGCTCTTTATTGTGCAAAGCACGTGTAAGTCGTGCATCTGAAACTCTCAAGACTTTTTTATAAAAATCCTTGCAAACTGGAATTTTTAGCCCTGTTTCTCTCGTATATTTATATAATATTGTCTTGTGTATTTTCTGGAGTCACTTTGAGCAGTATTGGTTAATTTTGAAGTAAGTTTGATTTGGCCACATAAGTAGGATATCTGTAAATCAAAATTGGTGAGTTCATAAAAATCTTGAAAAATAGTTTCACGCTGTTAAAGTGCAATGAGTTTATGGCATTCTTTAAAATAAGGACAGTCGGATGCATCAAACTGTTTGGCAGCAACTACATTACTCTTAATGTTTTTACACTCACGTCCACTATTTCGTAATTGTTTTCTTATATTACGTTGCCATTGACTTTTATCTGCAAATTTTCGGCGAGCACCACGTTTCATACTTCTTAGAATTTCTCCAGGATTCGCAATATTGTTAGACTGAAAACTGCTTTGTAAATTCTTACCAGTCACCAATGCATTTTCATTTTCACCTAAAACAAAGTATATTAGTTTCTTGCAAACGATTATCATAATAATAAAATACCGTTACTTTTTTCACCTGATGAATCTTCCATATCAGAAGGATTGTAACTGAAACCTGAATCTGCATATGTCTCATCAATACTAGAGACCTCACTGTCATTAAAAGTGTTATTGCTTTTGTCTGAAAGAGATAAGTTACAATAGTTCAGTCCTGTATTAATATATACTTATTAATACCTTATTCCAATATATCTGCTTTTAATAAGTACTTAAGAAAATGATATGAATAATATATTTACCTGACGTGAATGGAATATCCATAATACAACTTACAAATAACTAAACACAAACAATTAAAGCGTATACTAGCTGTTAAAACTCAAATAATAATTTTAAGGATAAGAGATAGGCCACTAGTGCACACGAGAAACTGAAACACATAGACAGGCATGAACGTTGGGCTATTACTGCACGACTGTTTGTCAACAAATCACAATACGCCAAAGTGACATTGATCATTCCTCTACCGGAATTTTAATCCAATCGACATGGGCCACTATTGCATAAGATAGAATACAAATACTAATGATTGGTGTTATTAACTCATAATTTTTTTTAGTTGGGCCACTCTTGCACTATGCGCCTCAATTATTTTACCATACATCAGCATAAATATATTTATGGGATTAGATAATATATCTGAATTACTTTTTTATTCTAATGCTGTGTTTTTAACCGTACATAAATTTTTTTTTAATTACTGTATAATTTTGTATTGTGCGCACACACAATCATTCGGTTGGTATTGTAATCAATAATTCAATTTAATATGAGTTTAAATGTTTAATTTTTAATAAAGTAATTGGTAACCAGCATCAGTTTTTTGGTAATTGTACAATAAAGATTATTCATGTACGTACAACTTAATTAAAAATACTGGTTATAAATATCCGCCAGATTCGTTATTGGTGGTATTATGGAATATTTTGTTTAATTGGAAAATCAAAATTAAATTTCCATCGACAATGACATACAATTTATGAAGTGTTGTTCATAATTTAGCAACGAAATATACCAAATTCGTAATCAAATAATGACTAAAATCCATTTCCAACCAACAGTGAAATGCTGCGTACTATGGGGACTAACCAGGTAATTAAATATTAAAATCCCTTTCTCCCTAACGGTTTAAATAAACTGTGTTAATGGTAATGGCCAGATTGCACCATTACCAAAGATTTTACATTTTTTTAATATTCTTATGTGGTTATATCCAAATAAGTATAAGCAATATGCATATATTTTCTGTAAAGAAATTCATGACAATGTTAAGATAGCTTAGTTCGCCGTAAAATGATGTCTAATGACCATATATTACAAAAAAACGTCTATCCTGAGGAAGTATATAAACGTAATTTTATCTCTATAACTAATATATTAAAGCCAATTTTATAATTTATATGTTTTATTATCTCAGGGTTCTTATTATAGTTCAAAAAAATACCTTTATCTTCAATAGTGTTCAATAAGAAGAGGAGTAAAAGGAGTAAATAAAAAAAACCCAAATTTGTGCAATACAATTAAAATATAATAGTAATATAAACCTTTTAAAACTGTTTATACAAATAATGAAATCCCTTAGAAATAAATGTTTCCCAAAACATATAGCTTTTACAAAATAAAAAACAATAGCCAAATTAGTCCAATATATTCTACGGTCTCAATAATTTTTTCTCTGCACTTTATTAAAATCATTCAAAAAGAGATGTAGTAGTCTGTTTTTGAGGTAACACACTTGTAATAACTTTTCTATGGATGTTTGGTTTTTCATATTGTTCTTTTAGATGAACTAATGATGCCTTCTGATTAGAAAGCCAAACGTCTTCAATAAATATATGAAGTAGCCACCTTCTTTGTCTTTTTTCTCCACCTTTTGACCGAAAAAACCCACCACTCTTTGAGTGATCCTTAATTTATATTGATATATATCTGATTGACGGTCGTACTCCTTTTCTCGATGCTTTGTATATATATATATATATATATATATATATATATATATATATATATATATATATATATACATATATATATATATATACATATATATATATATATATATATATATATATATATATATATATATATATATATATATAAGAAAAGATGCCAGAAGAATGGCACAAAGGACAAATTATCACAATCCATAAAAAAGGAGACCAACAAATGTGTAATAATTATAGAGGACTGACACTATTAAACACAGCGTATAAAATCATGTCAACTTTAATACAAAGAAGACTGGCCAAAGCGACAACAAATATCATGGGACAGTATCAATGCAGATTTATTAGGGGAAAGTCAACAACAGATGCCATACATACGGTAAAGCAAATTATGGAGAAAGCTTATGGATATAAAATAGAAATTGAACTGCTTTTTATAGACTTCCAACAAGCATTTGATTCAATAAACAGAGCGAAATTACTTACAGCTATGAGAGAAATGAGAATACACAACAAATTAAGACGATTAATAAAAATGACAATGAGCAAAACCGTAGTAACTGTAAAAACACAAGAAGGAGACACAGAAGAATTTGTTATAAATAAAGGTGTACGTCAAGGAGATTCATTATCTGCAACTCTGTTTAATCTTGCCCTAGAATATATAGTCAGAAAAATCAACAAAGGTACACTTAGAACGAGAGAGGGACAAATAATAGCATATGCCGACGATATTGTGATAATAACAAAGAACAGAAAAAAAATGGAAACTATGTTAAAAGAATTGGTAGCAGAAGGGAAAGTAATGGGATTAGTAATAAATCAAGAAAAAACAAAAATAATGAGATTTGACAAAAAATATGAAAACAAAAAGATTAGACTGGGAGAATATATATTTGAAGAAGTAGAAAAGTTTAAGTATTTGGGAATATTATTAGCAAACAATGGAGAAAGGGAAACAGAAATTAAAGAAAGGATAATTACAGCAAATAAGACATACTATGCAAATAAAAAGCTTCTAAAAAATAAATTACTGAGCAAAAAATCGAAAATGAAAATATATAAAACAATAATTCGACCGACTATGATGTATGCTGCCGAAACCCTTAGCATGACAAAAAAACAAGAGGAAGACCTTAGAATATTAGAAAGGAAAATACTAAGAGCAATATTAGGACCAATAAAAATTAATGAAAAAAAATATAGACAAAGAACGAATCATAAACTACTAAACGAAATTAAAGAGAATATAGTTTGTAAAATAAAACAGCAAAGGGCAAAATGGCTAGGACATATATGGAGATCAGAACCATCTATATATATATATATATATATATATATATATATATATATATATATATAGTGGTAACTCGATATACGAGGTAGTTTGCGCCCTAATATACGAGTGTTTTGAGATACGAGCCGCAGAGATAGCGATATTTTTCTTTGAGATGAGAGCAAGACTTGAGATACAAGTAATCGGTTTACATTTAAATTCATACCTCTTATTTGACTACTTCTAATTTGCTTTGTAAATAAAAGGTACTTTTACTGGTAAAAAATCTTTACAGCCTCGCCATTAAGATCATTTTACAAGTCTGTACGTGACTACTACTTGGACCGACAAATTAAATAGTCATTGGTAAATTGGTGATTTCTGGTGAATTCTTCACATTTTCAAAAGAAAATGTGAAGAAATAGAGCAATTGCAGGCAAAACATGATATTTTTAATGTACATAAAAAGTGAAAGATCTTGCAGGTACACAAAAACGTAAGCAGAGAATACCCTGTATAATTTCAACGGAAACATAATAACAGAACTAGAAGAACAGTTGAAGACATGTAAAAACTATATTGAAGAACTCTTTGCAGATGATAGATAACAATCTGAGCTAAGTAACATACAAGGAGATGAAGGTCCAGAAATAACGGAAGAGGAAGTAATGTACGCACTAAAAAGAATGAAAAATGGTAAGGCCCCAGGTCCAGATGAAATACCAACGGAAATCCTTAACCTAATAGAAAAAGACTCGATTCACATTTTAGTTGAACTTTTCAATAGCATTTATACATCATGAAAATTACCACAAGAATGGCTTTTATCCACCTTTATTATTATACCAAAAAAGATAAATGCCAAACAATGTAGTGATTACCGTACAATCAGTCTGATGAGCCATGTACTGAAAATATTCCTGAAAATTGTACACTCAATAACATTAGATTATACAGAAAACTGGAAATGGACATCAATAATACCCAGTTTGGATTCCGAAATGGGCTCGGAACAAGAGAGGCGTTGTTTACAGTAAACATTATGTCTCAAAGATATCTTGATATAAATCAAGATTTATTCATGTGTTTCATAGCTTACAACAAGGCCTTTGATAAAGTGCAGCATGATCACCTAATCAGACTCCTGACAGAAAAGAATTTAGATAAACGAGACATCTGACTAATAGCAAATATGTACTACAATCAAAAAGCAGTAGTAAGAGTAGAGAATAATACCACTGAAGAAATTGAAATAAAGCGGGGTGTGAGACAAGGGTGTATACTGTCACCAACCCTGTTTAATCTCTATTCCGAAGACGTAATTAATACAACACTCTCTGAGCAATCCGTAGGTATTAAAATAAATGGTGTTAGATTAAACAATCTGAGATTTGCAGACGACACCGTTCTGATCGCAGAAACACTTGAAGGGCTACAGACATTGGTGAATAAAATAGCAGACGACAGCGAAGAATATGGACTATTTTTGAACATAAAGAAAACTAAATTTATGGTAATATCGAAATCAACACAAAATGTCCAAGTTAGCAAATACAAATATTAAGGCAGTTTTATAAATGAAGACATGGATAGCTCAGCAGAAATCAAAATAAGAATAGAAAAAGCCAGATCCATATTCACTAAAATGAAGAGAGTGTTCTGCGGAAGAGATTTGAGCTTTGAAATGAAACTTCGCCTGATGAGATGTTACGTACTTTCTGTGCTGTTCTACGAAATAAAGTCATGGACGTTGAAAAAGATTGATACCAACAAATTAAAGGCATTTGAACTTTGGATGTATCGCAGAATCCTGAGAATATCATGGACCAAGAGAGTCACAAATGTCGAGGTCTTGAGAAAAATTAATAAAGAAAAGGGAGTCATATTTACGATCAAAAAATGAAAACTGCAATACTTGGGACACATTACAAGAATTACAATACAAAAAATACAATACATTACAAGAAGATGAAACTCCTGGCTAAAAAATCTACAGCAATGGTATAGTTGTAGCAACAACGAATTGTTTTGGTCAGCAG